GCAAAAGGGGAGGTGGGGAGTGTCTACTTTCAGTGTCTCATCAGGGTCTTGGCCCTACTTACTGGCATCCTCCGATGCCCCTTGTTAGTCTGGGTACTATCCATGTCACTTGCATCTCAGGCAGCTCAGAGGACTGATCGGATACCTCCCTGTCCATAGCCACCTCCCACCATCTTTCTTGCCTTCCCTGTCCCTAGTTTGTTTCAGAAACTCCCTAAACTTTTGTATTTCCTTCCTTAAGACCAGGTCTGTGGTAGAGGAGGCAAAAACTCCACACTGCTGCTCTCTCTTTTTCTCTGAAACTTTCTCTTACTCTGTTTCTCCCTGAGTTCTTTGCATCTTTTCCCAAGGCAAGGGAGGAAGAAAACCCAATTCTGTCTCTTCTCATCTCTGTAAGTGGTTAGTGTCTCACTCTAGGAGTGGTGGCCTTTGAATTTAGTAATTCAGAGCTTGGGTCTTCCCTGTTGTCTGGCTGTCTTCACTGTGTTCAGTGTCCTTCCATTTGGCTGTCAGTTGGGAGAGGGTTGGCAGATAGGCCTAGCTGGATAGGAATGGCAAATCAGGCAATACTTGAAATCATAGTTTTTTATTGAAGATTCTCATACAAGAGCAAATTGCGGTCATCAACTGCCATCTTTAATCTAGTAGACAGCAGTACTTTAGATCCTATATTCTTCTCTACCTTTGGAAGGATCTCAGGGTCTCTGAGTTCTAGTCACCGAGTTCCTTTCAACATTTGGCACCCCATTTAACTGAGGACTTCTGATTTTCTGAGTGTTCCTGATTTGCTGATTTAACAAGATTTATAGGACAGCGTCATGCACCCACACTTCAGGGTCTCCAAGTTCTAAGCCTTGGAGAGCCCCCTAGGCTGAGGTGTTAGGTGCTCCTGCCCCCTACTTTAAGATGGCTTCATGACTAGCAATCAGTTAGCTACTTGGAGTCTCATTCTTATGTATGGAGTGGACCCTCACCTTGTGGTAGTTGTGAGGATTAACTAAGATAATGCCTATGAGCCTATGAGTGCTCAATAAATGTTAGACTCCCGGATTCCAATTCCTTCCCTGCCTTCTCTTCCAGAATCCTCCATTGTGATATAAGGAGATTGTTCTGAGAATGAGATTTTCTCAGAACAAGGCTTCCAGAAGCTGTTGGTAGGGTATGAGGAGTGGAGAGAAACTCCTACCTTGCCACCGAGGGAAGCTATTTGTTTCTAATATAAGTGGATGCTTTGGGAAGGATTTGTGGTCCTACCCTTGAAAGGCAAAGGGGCTAGTTGTGCCATTTGCCAGCTCAGGAACCATGAGGAGATATATGGTGTCTTATTCGTGGCAGATCCTGAAGAAGGAACTGGTGAGGATGTCAAGGGTCCTGGGAGGGAAGAGTGGTATTTTGAGGAAAGGAGGATAGGTGTAAGAGGGGGGTCTATCTTTTGGAGTCACAGCATGGCACAAAGGATAGAGTCCAGGTTACGCTTCAGAAAGACTGAATTCTGACCCATTTCCTGTAGACTGCTATCCCCTTGACAGTGGGCATGTCACAGGCTACACTCTGAGCCCCTAAGAACTGCTCTGTACCCACCCTTTCTGCTGCTGTCATGAGATCCAGAGGGAATAAGGCCTGGCAGCAGGACAGAGTGATAGGTTGAGCCTATGGATTCTGGAGCCAGACAGCCTGGGTTCAAATCCCTATCACCTATTAGTCCTATGACTAATATTAGTATTAGGCAAGTTACTTGATTTGCTGTGCCTATTTTCCCCTCTCTGAAGGGTGATGATAGTATTAGCATTGATTGCATTGATTTATTGTTGACGATGAAATGAGTTGATACATCTAAAGGGCTTAGAATCGTGCCTGGTGGAAAATTAGTATTTGATAAGTATTAATTTTATTAATAAAGCCTTTCCCTGTATTTCCTTCAGATATAAATGTTTTTAAAGAAGATGTTATAGGTACTGGTGAAGCTCCTCATCATCCCATTCCCTTCTTCCTCACTGGGGACCACTTTCCTGAGGTTGATGTGTACTATCTAGATTTTATTTTCTTATTTTTTATTTTTTTTAAGATTTTATTTTTATTTTTCGACAGAGAGAGAGAGAGCGAGAGAGAGAACACAAGCAGGGGGAGTGGGAGAAGCAGGCTTCCCGCCGAGCAGGGAGCCCGATGTGGGACTCGATCCCAGGACCCTGGGATCATGACCTGAGCCGAAGGCAGACACTTAAGGACTGAGCCACCTAGGCGCCCTGTACTGTCTATATTTTAAAATTTTATTACATGTGTATGTATTTATAAGTAGCATAGTATGTAACACATTTTATTTTAAGATTTTATTTATTTATTTGACAGAGAGAGACATAGCCAAAGAGGGAACACAAGCAGGGGGAGTGGGAGAGGGAGAAGCAGGCTTACCGCGGAGCAGGGAGCTCAATGCGGGGCTCGATCCCAGGACCCTGGGATCATGACCTGAGCCGAAGGCAGACACTTGACGACTGAGCCACCCAGGCGCCCCTATGTAACACATTTTTAAAAATGGTGTCCTTTTTCAACCTTTTTTCTACTCAAAATTGTGTGAGCTTTACCCACACTGACATACACAGCTCTAGGGCTAGTTCAGTCCTGGGACTGTACAGTAATGCCTTGATACATTTCCCTACTGATGGACACTTCAGTTGTTTTCAGCTTTTCCCATGGGAAATGTCTTCCAGTTCCCGAATCCGATAAGTGTAAAATGGTATCTTGTTGTCGCTTTAATTTGCATTTCCGTTATCGCTAGTGATGTTCAGAATCTTTTCATTATTTATAGGTGATTTGGGTTTTCCCTTTGAATTACCTGTTCATATCCTTTGCTCATTTTTTGGGGGGGGGTTATTTGTATTTTTCCCTTGATTTGTAGAATTTTTAAAAATTAAAAAAATTTTAAAACAGTTTTGGATAGTGGTTTTTTGTAATAGCTATTCTTTCTAATTTTGGGTAGGAATCCTTTGTTGATTCTGTTCCTGGCAAATGTATTCTTCCAGTCTTCAGTTTGTGTTTTTCATTTTATTTTTGATCTCCTGATTAACAGAAGTTAATAAAAGTTTTTAGCTTTTGCATTTGTTTCATTATGGAAATTTTCAAACATACAAGTTGAAATATAATGATCACTCCTTAGATCTAACAGTCAGCATTTTGCCACATTGGCTTTACGTATTTGTGTGTGTGCTTGTTGAATCATGTGAGAGTAAGTTGCATTTTTTTTTTTCAAAGATTTTACTTATTTGAGAGAGAGAGAGCATGAGAGCACAAGCCGGGGAGAGGGAGAAGCAGGCTCCCTGCCGAGGACTCAATCCCAAGACCCTGGGATTATGACCTGAGTCTCAGACGCTTAACCCATTGAGCCACCCAGCCGCCCCTAAGTTGCATTTTTTATGACACTTCTTAAAAATAAGGACATGATTTGGTGCCTGGGTGGCTCAGTCGTTAAGCGTCTGCCTTCAGCTCAGGTCATGAACCCAGGGTCCTGGGATCGAGTCCCACATCGGGCTCCCTGCTCGGCAG